CAAGAAGAGGTGAAGTTGTGAAGCCCCGGGTAGTAGTAAACGAATTAAAGTTTTTGAGAGCAAAAGAATGGCTGGATTTCCCATGAGCAATAAGCTTAGACCACGAGGGCGACTGCATAAACATTAGAAATCTCATAGTGAAGAAAAGGAATGCAAAACGAAAAGCCGGGACGAGATGATTCTAGAAATAAACAAGCACCAATAAAGTACAAAAGATAATTTTAAATTTATAATTATTAATTTAAATTACTAGAATATTTTAAAATAATTATATACACACAAAACTTTACTTTGTATGCCTTCTGTGGCGGAGATATTGACTACCTCTTGACTCCGTATATGAATAGTCAGGCCGAGCCTAAGGACGGGAAAGTTAACAGAGAAAAGACTTGTCCATTATTATTGAGGGTTTTTTGTGGAAGCCTCAAGCATAATTCCTTAAGTGATTACTCTCGTGGCAAAGCTCCGGGCAATGAATTGCAGATCTATACCTGGTAAGCGCTGGACCTTGCTCGACCGCACCAAGCTATCTTGTCATAACGATATTCTTTGTTCTTTTAGGCTTGACGCCACTCTTAGAGAACTTTCTAATCTTGTAAAACAGGTTAACCCTGAGGTAAAGCGAAAGGGGACAATCTTTGATTTCGCAGTCGTCACCCCGGACTCGCGCGCCCCTGTCTACAGACTCAAAAATATCGGAAGCGTTTGCGCCGGCGTGCCTTCTGATGCTGATAGGATAATGCTTAAGGTGAGCCGAAAGGGACAAGCTATTATTCCTCAGTTGCTGCGGTAATATTTCATCTCATCTCCGTACCTTGCCAAAAGTACTTCAGCTAAGCTCTTTTCTTTGCTCTTGCATCAAAGGACTGCCAATTCTGCATCGGAGACATGATAGATGTTGCCATTACCCCTCCGCAGGCCTCATCCCAGTTCCACATACGTAGCAGCACCCTAAACGCTCGTGGGGGAGTCATTAGGAGGCAAATTCGCACGTTTGCAGAAAGACCAGCTCAATCTAGTGGTCCTTGGGCTGAAGAGGTAATTATTTTTTTATTT